ATATAAAATATGTGCGGTTAGTCGGCCGCGCTCAGTCTTGGAACGCGCGCGGCGCGCGGCGGTCATGCTCGTCTATGATTCAAGTTGTATGTCTCCCACACTTATAAAGTATTCTTGCGTCTTTTGATTCTATTCTATTATATAATGTTTTCTGGTATTCTGTCCATGTAACTATTTATTCGATAGTCATCTCTTGCTATATTTCATTTTGTGTTTATGCGCCGCGAAACAACTTGCTGTCCATTTTTATTTACACTCATGCATAACCCTCTGGCTCTAAGCGGGTGTAGGAACGAGGGTTTTAGTCAGTAAGAGTCTGATATTCTCTCTCGCCTTACCAAAGGCGGGAGAAGTCATTGGATGATATATACCCACCGCAAAACAAATTATATTTTAGTTACATAACACAAACATATGTTGTACTCGTACAAACACGTTGGTGTTGGTGTTCAAACTACTAAATTAACAAAGATTTTTCCTCAATGAAGAAACTAAAATACAACAGCTATTCTCTTATCCGTGTGAGTTCAGTGATATTTGTTTCGAGTAAATAATGAAGCCGAGTCTTGACAAGAGTCCTGATCCTTACATTTGACCTTATAGTAATTGTGAGTCTATTTTCTTAAGGCCAAATAATCTGTACTAATATAATAAAGATGGAGTTTGTTTGAGCGCGGTAAATCTGGAACTAGATGTCGGATTTGTAGAAATCTTTTTTGTATTGGATAGTGATGTATATAGAAGATTAATGTACTATAATGTAGTGTGGTTATTTTTTTCAGATATGGAACTATTATACAAAGAATTATATTCTGTGCGGGAATTGAGCTCGCAACACGGAACACTGCAGCTCGTCACTCAGCTATTGTACCATCTGAGCAATCTTTGCTGACGTCTTTTGTTTTTCTTTTCTTACAGTTTAGTATACTCGTCAATCATTGTTCTTCGTGTTGACCTAAATAAGTATGGATGACTTAATAAACAAAAAATATTTTTCGCATTAAATGATTTTTCGGAAACTTTTTGGAAACTGATGATGAACCTTTCTCAACAACATTTTTCATCATTATTAAACTGAACGGTTAATTTGTGATTTTCTTAATTTTTCCTTTCAATTTCCTTTCCAATAAAGTAAAGTTTTCCAATCTCATCAATCATTTCACTCTTAACAAGTCTCAATACTTTGAAAAAGTCCAGGAAAATGGTTTTAACAACGTAATTTTAAGTAGGAACAGGTACCACTTAATTGGGTGTTTTGAGACTTATGTAATTTGGAGTAAGTTTCATTTTTCAGTAAATATATAATAATTTTAGGTCCTATTTAACTTAACTTGCATACTTGAATTGGATCATGCAAGTCGTATATGAAAGTAGATGGTCTTTATATATATATTTTATTATAGTATGAGCCGGTAAACGAGCAGACGGATCACCAGATGGTAATCAATCACTCAATCGGCGCCGCCCATGGACACTCGAAACACCAAGGCGTTACAAGGGCGTTACCGGCCTTTTGGGAATTGGGAATTTGAGGATTTTGAAGAATTCGGGGATTCGGGAGACTGGACCTAGGGAGGGTAATTGGGCCTCCGGTAACCTCACTCACAAGACGAAACACAACGCAAGTGTTGTTTCACGTTAGTTTTCTGCTCGGCCGTGGTATCACTCCGGTCGATCTGGCCCATTCGTGCCAAAGCATGGCTCTCCCACACTTATTAAATTGGACTGCCTCGTTGGCCGAGTGGTCGCAAGCGCGACTGCCGGGCAAGGGGTCTCGGGTTCAATACCCGGGTCGGGCAAACTATTACTGGGTTTTAAAAAAAATCTCAGTAGTAACACGGACTCTGGAATTGTGCCCGGTATATGGCAATAGGGTCACCCCTATTACATGGGACTCATAACATAAATAGTGAAAAGTGGGTGTTACATTGTACAGTGGCATAATGTGCACCTCTGCCTACCCCTTTGGGGACTGGGCTCGCTGCCATCGCAGCGGTAAGTCCCCTCTTTGAGGAGTGGCTTGAGAGACGCTACGGCGTCCTCACCTACCGCCTGAAGAAAGACCTCACCGGACATGGAAGTTTCGGGAGGTACCTGTGTCTGATGGGGCGGGAGGAAACGTCCGGGTGTCATCACTGCGAGGACCGCCCTGAGGACACGGTGGAACACACGGTGGGAGAATGCCCTTCGTGGGCTGAGCACCGCCGTGTCCTCAGGGAAGTGATCGGCGATGGCGACCTCTCGCGTCCGGGCCTAGTGCAGGCCATGATGCGGAGCGAGGGGGATTGGGATGCCGTCTCCTCCTTTTGCGAAGCAGTCATGCTAGCTAAGGAGGAGGCGGGACGCGTGAGGCAGCGAAGCGCTGCCTCCTCGCAACCCAGCCATCGCGAAGGACACACCGGGCGTCGGGGATCGCGGGACGATCTCCGGCCACCGTAAGCGCGGGCCTGCGGACGGCGAGCATGGGTGGCTCCCCGTCCGACCAGAAACAGACCCGAGCGTACGGCGCGTCGCGTTCCGCGCGCGCCTCAAAGAGCCATCAGACCACCACAGATGGGGCCCAATAGGGCCGATGCCGATTCGGAGTCGCGGAGAACCTAACGGGTAACCGGGGCTCCGGCTCGACGTGCAGGAGAAGGAACGGGGTGGTTTTTAGTCAGTAAGAGTCTGACACTCCCTCCCGCCTCACCCAGGCGGGGGCAGTCATTCGATGATTTTCCCCCCTTAAAAAAAAAAAAAAAAAACCCCTTTGGGGACAAAAGGCGTGATGTTATGTAATGTAATGTATGTAATTAAATTGCTTCAAATTTCATAATGTAGCGTATATATATTTTGAACGTATGAATATATTTAGTGTTAAATGTGGTTCTGTGTTCTGATAAGACTTTATAAAAGCCCTGCGAAGCAAATGTTTGAAAAACGTTTGTACACGGAAAGCCTTACAAGTACTAAGAAAGAAAACTGGTTTCATTTTCTTAAACTAACGTTCTGGCCACGAGGATCGGTGGCGTGAACGGAGGAGCGGTGGGGGACGCGACTATTCGCGCGGCGGCGTTTGCAACCCACGGACAGAGGACTGAGGACGTTTGCCGCCGTGACCACAGAACATGTTATTATAAGAGGCAGAACTTAAGACTTCAATTTCTAAAGATTATCGGTGGACTAATTTCAACATTTTTGACAATTCTCCCATACAAAATAATCAATTCAAAATAGTCAATTTTGTTTTACGAATAAATTATATTTGTTGATTGAAAAATCGACTCTAAGTTGTGTTTAAAGTGAGTTTATTGTTGACTACTTCATTGACGTCATAGTTTACATACATGCCTGCTGATCTCGACACATACTGTTCACCCATTTCATATCAAAATTGACTATGGAGCGTGTAAAATAAAGACGGTTTACTCCTATGGCTTTCATTAATGGAATCTTTCCTCATCAGGACTTATGTCTATGCTTCCATGAAACTAGATCTTGATTCGGTTCTTCCCGGGAATGAAAGTGTTTCAAAGTATTAGAGATCACCCATCGGCATACATTGGCAAACCTAAACTTAACTTATCGGCATACTGAAACGTTACTCAATTTAAAGTCGTGCTTAAATATCGTGCCATCTCTGTCATTTCACAAAGAATTAGTGGTGACAG